CGCCCGCGCGGTGCTCACCTCGCAGCTGTAGAGCCCCACGCGGAACAGGCCCTTGCCCCGCGGCGCCCACAGCTCGTAGCGCAGCCACGCGTTGTAGCCCGAGTCGGCGTCCACGGCGCGGATCTTGGCCACCACCTGCCCCGCCGGCGCCCCCCACGCCGCCCACGCCCACAGCGTGCCCGACCCCGAGCCCGCCCCCACGCCCGCCGCCGCCGTCTCGGCCGCCACGGCTCCCGCCTCCGGGGCCGAGCCCGCGGCCGGCAGCAGCGCCGGCGCGTTGTCGTTCTCGTCCAGCACGAAGAGCTGCACCGTGGCGTTGCCGCTCAGCGGCGGCTCCCCCGCGTCCACCGCGCGCACCTCGAACTGCAGCACCTGCAGCTCCTCGTAGTCCAAGGGCTGCAGCGCCCACAGGCGCCCGCTCTCCGCGTCCACCGACACGTAGCTCGACGCCGGACGCCACCCGCCGCCCGACCACGACGACGACGACCCCGCGGCCCCGCCGCCGCCGCCCACGCCGCCCTCCCACAGCGAGTAGCTGACGCGCCCGTTGCCCGCCTCGTCCGGGTCCCGCGCCCACAGCCGCGCCAGCTCCGCGCCCGCCGCGTTGTTCTCCCGCGCCAGCACCGTGTACACGGCCTGCGCGAAGGCGGGCGCGTTGTCGTTCACGTCCGACACCGGCACCCGCAGCCCGCGGCTGGCGCGCAGCGCCGGCGCCCCGCCGTCCTCCGCACGCACCTCCACCTCGTACTCCGACACCCGCTCCCGGTCCAGCGCCTCGCGCAGCACCAGCGAGTACGAGCCCGCGAACGTCGCCTCCAGACCGAACGGCGACGCCGGCCACACCCAGCACCGCACGCGCCCGTTCTCCCCCGAGTCCCGGTCCGACACGCTCAGCAGGGCCACCACCGTCCCCACCGACGCGTCCTCCGCCACCGGCACCGACAGCGACGTCACCCACACCTCCGGCGCGTTGTCGTTCACGTCCAGCACCTCCAGCACCACCTTGCAGTGACCCGACAGCGGGGGTGTCCCCTTGTCTCTCGCTTCGATTTGTATCTCATATAAGCGATCCTCTTCATAGTCGACGGTACCCGCCAAATGAATTTCACCCGTCTTCCCATTTAAAAGGAAAATATTCATCCCCTTTTCAGGAAAAGTATTGCTCACGTGGAATGTCACTTCTCCATTACTTCCCAAATCCGGGTCCGTGGCATTCACCCTCGTAACCAGCGTCCCCACTGCAGAGCTCTCTGGCAGCTGCACTTTATACACAGACTGGTTGAACTGGGGCGTGTTGTCATTCGCATCCTCCACCGAGATCACCAGCTCCATGGTGCCCGTCAGAGACGGCCGGCCCCCGTCACTCGCCGTCAGCACCAACCGGTGCACGGGAATCGTCTCGCGGTCCAGAGATTTCGTGAGTACCAGAAACAGGGATTCTCGGTATTCCTCACTCCGCTCCAAATCCAGAGAGAAATGCTCGCTGGGGCTGAGTGTATAGGTAAGTTGCGCGTTCATCCCGATATCCGCATCCGACGCGCCCTCCAGAATGGCAAGATGCCAGCAGCTCACGTCCCAGGCAGCAAAGAACTTAATGTTGCAACTCACTTTACAAGTTTTCTGTCCAATCACACATAGCAACAGCATATTGACAGTAGTTCTTTCCAACCACCATAAGCACATAAATGTCTGGTTAAAACAATGCTTGCTTATCTTAAATGCAATACCTGCTGTTAAGCATTAAACACAATGCACAGAGCTCAATTGCTAAGCTTAGAACTAGAATTTGCTAATCTCTTGCTAGCTATACTTTCTGTAGCTAAGGGATTTATTCTAGAC